AGAACTAGGAATCAGCTCCACACTACAAGGAGTCTGCATGCAAATTCACATTTGGGGCAGCCACACTTCACTAAGCATGCCATTTTGATATCCCGTTTTTGTCCGTGATGCCACAGAGGCAGCTGGAGCATCTCTCTTCTGTTGAACAACTTCTTCCTTTCCAGCCCCTCTCCTCCCGAAGGCGGCGAGCGTGGGCTCCTGCAGCTGCCTCCTCAGAGCTGTCAGCGCCTGTAACCTCCTGCTCTTGGGCTTCCCGGCTGGACTGACAGGACCTGGCCGTGATCCGAGCAGGGCGATGTCTCCAGACCCTTTCTGTCTCAGAGACGGGAGCAGTGAACTTTGTTCCAGTTTTTCCTGGCCCTCTCCCAAACGGAGTCGGAAGTTGTCTTTCTGAATTGCTTGCAGGTGAGGGGATTGAATAATTTCAAATGTATTTGAAAATAAAGTTATAACCAACAGTATTATAATGTGACAAATGCAGTTTCTTGCTGCTAGGCCTGTGATAAGAACCCTTTTGGCTTTTCAAAGGGTAATTTTTATTTAACAAGCTTAAATTTGTCCATTGTGGTCAAAGCAGAAGGTATACTCTGACAATTATGACTTATGAATATACATTAATGGACTGTTTGTTTCTGATGCTAATGGTGACTCTGTAGTCTCATCTGCAATTGGAAACACGAAGTCATGAGGACGAAGGTGGGTGGGACATGACTTAACCGGGGTGGGATGGTCCATGAGATTTTGTGAAAAGTGCCTTGATGTCAGTTTGTCATTGCCTCGTGGTGCAGTGCCAGCTTAATATCTGACTTTCCTGGTGAGCCAGTAAATAAGAGAAAATATGTGGATCAAGAAACTCCTTGTACAAGTAGGAGAGTTGATTTAGATAGCTAATTAACCAGTTAAGTAACTGACTAGATCTGATTAATTAGTAGTTAATGGTAAGGTTCTGTCAGATTAAATTGATCTCTACTAACCCAAAGGACAATTGTGAGCTTACAATCACTGTGATTGTTTTTCCCCTGCATTGTTGCAAGAATCCCAGTTAGAGGTAATGTGATAATTTAGGACTATTACATAAGGCTGTCTCCTTGACACAGGACACTGCTTCAAGCGCTGGTATGATTTGGGGCAATGCTATTCCTAATGCCTGGTAAATGAGATATGTGATTAAGTAATCATTGATCTTTTAGGGAAATTTTTGTAGCGCTATCCCTAGTTTCATTTCGCCTGTCAATTCATTGCCCATTGAAATGCAGATTGTTGTAGGCAGCCAAATAAACAGAAAGCAAGCAGAGAGGTTACAGCTGGTGACCATTTTGAGAAATGTAAATAGAAGGAAGGCAAAAAGCTTATTTTTCCAGGTTGTCTTATAGCCCTGACTTAGTGCTTGGGAAAGCGGATTTTTTTTTTTTCCGAGTAGTCTGTGTCAGTGCCATCTGAACAGGAACTGAGCTACGCACATTTTGGGTGCTTCTGCAACACAAATAGTTTGAGTCATGTTACATATCTCAAATATTTTGCTCAGAAGCACAAAGGCATATGCCCACTCTGGATGTCATCTAAGGGATGCCTGGAAGGCATGTCTGGCAGGCTTATACCAATATTATTGCAGATTGACACACTGACTGTAGCTTGTATCTGGTAAGAGACAGCGTCAGGCCTTGTGGATTTTGACTTCTGCAAGAAAAATATTTCTAATGAATTAAGATTGCTTTTTGCAGTTAGAATCACTGGAACCTCAGTGGGGTTTTTTTTCCCCTTTTTCCACCCTTAATATTGCCTTTGATCTTTAACAGAGATATTTCTATTATTTCAGAAGAGATGATGTAGTCAAGTGGAAATGATTGCAAGATATTTCTGATATGTCACTTGCTGTGTTTCCACATTGGTTGCATCAGCTATTACTCATGTACCTACTTGTTTATTACTCTTCTTGAAAGAGGAGTGAAGTGGGACTAATAAAGCTATGCAAACTGATATTTATAGTTCAGTTGTTGAATCAAAATTAAAAAAAAAAACTCAAAAACTTGAATTAGAAATCTTTTAGCTGAAACCACTTCTGACATACTGTATTCAATTCAGACTGAAATTAAATGAGTTGTTTCGGGCACCTCTCAGAAAAGCCAGAGAAATGTAGGTATAGTTTACAAACTGATAATGTAAATCCATCCCCTTTCCTTTTATCTAGTAGATCCATTACATTTTATCCTCCAGGAAGTGAGAAATTCTTTTTTTTTTCTCCTTTTATAAAGCCACTTGAAGTGGGAGAGTTTTCATTGTGCCTTGTTTTATTTTCTCTCTTTCATTTGTTCCAGTTTTCAGTTTTAGTGAATCAAACATCCATCGCAGCAGACTGCAATCCTGCTGAAATGCCTTCATCTCTAGGCTAGAAAGTTTCCCTCTCTTTGTATTCCTAGATCTTATCTCATTGCAAATGGAGAGGCTTAGGAAGAGGGCTGGAATCCCACATCCTCACTTTGGTGCTTAGGGTACACCTTTGGGGGTGAGACCCTGCTTCAAATTCAATGTCCACCGAAGTCAGGACAAGGCTACACATCTGGGTGTCTCTGGTCTAATATAGCACCCTCAGTGCAATAAAACAAGGTGGTCTGCGCCAAGTCTGCCGATGCTGCAGCTGTTCCAGTTTGGAATCGGGACGCTCTCCTGGTGGTATGAACTCAAGAGTTGTCTCCTACTAACCTCTCGCTGGCTTGCCAAGCTCCCAAGCTCAGGTTTAGCTTTTGTGGGCTGGGAAGCTCTTCTGCCAGCAAAACCACCGGCCCTGGGCGGGCTCCTGGACTACCATGGTCTAGCCACCTACCATCACACAGAAGGCATGTGAGGGGCATAGCTCAGCCGGGGATAGCATCTGCAGCCTGTGGGAGGGGAATACTGGGAGGTGGGGGGCTATGGTTCCCAGAGACAGACCCTGCAGGTGCATGCTGGATCATCCAGTAAGGTGGGTATAGAATAGCTCTACTTGAGTGGCTGTATTTATCCAGCTGCTTCTCCTAATTCACCTGCCTGTTTAGAAAGGATAGATGGTTTCCCACAGTCCACCAAAACTGAAAGAAACCCTTATTTTACTGTAGTGCAGAGATAAACAAGTTATGCCCTTCTGAAATGTTGGGTTTGCAACAGTTGAGTACACTTGAGCGGACATAAAAATCCTAGTGCTATTTCACAGTGTAACTAATCTCACTCAGGTCGGCTTTACTTCAGTGAAATAAACTCAGATTATGTGTATGAGAGTTATTTCTGCAGTGAACATGTGATTTTTTTTTTTTTTTTTTGTATTATATCTTTCTTTACACAGGGAATAATAAATTATACTCTTCACTAGAATGAGACAGAAGTCAATGCTGCCTTTGAAAATTGGATACTGACTCAAAGATTGCTTATCCAGTTTCTGGAAACTAAACAAAAGTTGGAGTTAAAAAGTCACTGAAAAGGTTCTGCTGAAATCCATTTGAACTCCTTTGGCACAAAGCATGCAGGCGGAAACGTTTCCTTGCCAGTTAACTAACACTTCTCCTCTTGCTCCTGGTACCGTGGCTGATTCAAATCTGTGCAGATCATATAATTACACCCCACCCTCCCCAAACCCAAAGCATACATGAAATGAAGAAATGACAGGAAAAAGGCCACATGTCACAATAATTATGATAATTTGGTCTGTTATTCCCTTGCTTTCTGGCTCGATATTTGAGGCCCAATGTTAATTTGCTTGTATAACTAAAGGTGTTTCCTCTGCTTGTTTATGCTAGCTATGATTTCTAAACATCCTTGAAATTATTTGCCATAACATCTCTCCTCATCATGATATTACTTCAGTTTGAGCCACTTATAGAAAGTGTTTCTTTCTATTTTTGAACAGAAACACTTGGGAGCCAGAAAAATATGTATTTGTTTCCCTTTCTATTTTTGGTTTGAAATTGCTGGAAGCCACTAGGTGGGTTTTATTTTCTGTTTTAAGATTTTATTTTCAAAGTAAAACAAATATTATATATGAGGAATGGCACATATCTTAAATTACTGGTTTTAGTAACAAGAAAAAGTTCTTGCTAGAAATTCTTCTAAAGTGTGGCTCTATTTCTGGAACTCCTTTCTTGCTCACTTCAACAGTCTTGTATCCTCTCCCATTCACTCAGCGATTCTTTTATATGCAGAGGGGTGAGTTTTATAGGAACTTTGCTGGCACTGAAAAGTTGGTATGTTTTCCTTCATCTTGTACACTGCACTGATCCTTTCATTATCTGTCCATTCTACTAGCCAGAGGAAAATCATGTAGGGAGTTGACTATTGTTTGTGTTAACAAATGAAATCACCTCAACTGTCACCTAAATGGGTAACTACTAACGTCGTGTATCTTTGGAAAATAAACCCTAGCGTCTACTGTTGGACTGCACAGATTTTGCTCTCCAGAACATAAAACTGCAATTCACTATAAAATGGTTTGTCCAATACAAGATCTCATCCCATTCAGGAAAGCCGGCAGATTACCTAATTAGAATTCCTAGAAAACCATAGGAATCACTCAGGCGACACAGAAATCAAAATCTTATAGATTTCTTTCTAAGTAAAAACCAAATTGAACAAAACCAAACACCAAACCACCCCCAGTTTTACTTATTTATTCTCTATCAATTTCCTAAAAAAAAACCCCACCCCAAAACCCAACCCAACAAAAAGTAACCCCCCAATCACATCCATGAGCTTTATTCTGTTTATTTCATAGACAAGCTTGGATAGCTTTGAGTTAGTGTTCCTTATCACTAGTTGGCTTCTAAATCAGTAAAATCAGTTCACATAACACAGCATTATCTTTGGAAAAGGTATTTTCTTTTTTTTTTGGGGTGGTGTGGGGAGGGTAAAGTCGGCAGATCAAAGTGTATTAATATATCTTTTTACTTTACTGCAAGATTTATGTTATACAAAAATATAATATAGAACAAAACTTTCTCTCTTCACAGCTTTCCCACTAAGCTTTGAAACCATTCATGGAAGCTGATGGCAATGCTCTCGTAAGTATAATTGAAGTTATGCCAGAGTTACTGATCAGCTGAAGAGGTCGTACGTTGGGGTTGCGTCCTTGTAATCATAGAAGACTGTGGACAACATCAATATCCAAACAAGATCTTGCTTATAGGCCAGGCCAAGTGGTGAGACTGCCACAGACTGCCCCAGTTCTGCTCTAAGGATGAAATGAAAGTCTGTTGCATAGACCTGACGACAAGGGTGCCCTCACTTCCAAGTCCTACCTCTCAATGGATGAGAAAGCAGTAACTTAGGATACGTGAGCTTAGCAAAGGATTTTCTTAGCCACACATCTGTCTAAACCTTGAGAAGCTTAAGGAAAGTACAGCTCTGTAGAAGATGAACTGTCAATCATAGCTGCCTTTGGTGCCTTCTCAGACTCATGTATTTCGAGACATGAAGGCTGGTCTTCAGCCCAATGTGACTGTTTTTGCTCGTAGAACATTTTTTTCTTTCCCCCAAACCAGCCTCATACACCTATTTCACCCAATTTTTTTCTTCTGGGGAGTTTGCAGGGTGCAACTCTAGGTAGAAGCATCCCCTGGGTCAATCCTTGACTGTTCCTGGCAGCTCCCCAGAGGGATGCTGTCCACCTGAGTTTGGTTCCCAGAGATGATTGCTCAAGTCCAGCAGTTTGGAAGGGTGGTGGAAACATGTAGCCCCCATGCTGTATATTTGCAAATCCTTCCTGTCCAGGCAAGGATAAGGTAAGGGCGGCCACGAGGATGTGGGACCAAGGGAGCTCTAGCAGCTTCTAATGATTGTAATCATCTGCCCTTGACCCAGGGTGCCTGGAGCTTTTGATGCAGCTCCCTCTGATTAGGGAGGGTCAAGTACCCTTTAACTGGCAGGCTCAGAGTGCAGCCAAGAGACCCAGCAGTTTGTGCAGCAGGGTATGAAGAAGGAGTGAAGCAAGGGGCCTCAGTTGAAATTGTGGTGCTGTAACAATCATCTTAGGCATGGTGGTAACAGGACAGTTTTCCCCAATATATGTGGGAGCAGCTGTCCCTGCCAGGGCAGAGGCTTCCACACAGACTGACTTTCAGATGGTGGATGGGGTGTCCCCTGAGACACAACAGCTTGAAGAGTGTCAGTCCCCACCTGCAATGAAGAAGCAGGCAGTGTCTAGCCCCACTATCAAAATAAGCAAAACCTCTGGAGAAGGGGAAGGATGGAAGTGGATGACTTCTAGTACCAAAAGGAAGGCTCCTGCCCCACCTAATAACTTGCGACTGCAAAATAGGTTGACTGCCCTCAAAATTGAAGAGAAGCCAGATGTGCCTACTAGCAAAGGACCCGATTCACCTAACCATGATCCATGCAAGGCTACCAGGACGAAATGCTGAATCATCACAATGGGTGACTCCCTGCTGTGGGGACAGAGGCACCCATGTGTAGGCCTATCAACCATCTAGAAATGTTTGCTGCCTGGCAGAGGCCAGGATCCAGGATGTTGTGGAGGGACTGCCAAAGCTTGTCCAGCCCTTGGACTTCTACCCCTTCCTGTTATTCCATGTGAGTACAAATGATACTGCCAGGGGAAACCAGTATATGCTGTGGGCAGCCCAGCTGGAAAGCAGCTTTGCAGAAAAGGACCTGGAAGTCTTGGTGGACATCAAGTTGAACATGAGCCAGCAACATGCCCTTGCGGCAAAGACGACAAATGGTATCCTTGGCTGCATTAGACAAAGTATTGCCAGCACGTCACGGGGGTGATCCTTCCCCTTTATTCAGTGCTGGTGAGGCCACGCCTGGAGCACTGTGTCCAGTTCTGGACTACTCAGTACAAGAGAGATGTACATACTGGAGAGAGACCAATGAAGGGCCACAAGGATTATTAAGGGACTAGAGCATCTAATATATGAGGAAAGAATGAGTGAGCTGGGACTGTTTGAAGAGCAGGCTCATGGGGATCTTATTAATGCATGTAAATACCTGCAGGGAGGGTGCAAAGATGACAGAGCCAGGCTCTTTTCAGTGGTGCCCGGTGTCAGGACCAGAGGTAATGGACACAAACCAAAACACAGGAGGTTCCCTTTGAACATCAGGAAATGCTTTCTTACTAGGAGGGTGACAGGGCACTGACACAGGTTGCCCGGGAAGCTGTGGAGTCTCTGTCCTTGGAGATATACAAAAGCTGTCTGGACATGGTTCTGGACAACCAACTGTAGATGTTCTTGTTTGAGCGGGAGAGTTTGGACTAGATGAGCTCCAGAAGTCCCTTCCAAGCTCAACCATACTGTGATTCTGTGGAAAAATAGGATCTCTAAAGTGACAGAAGTCTGTCACTGAAGTTGTCACTTCTCTCGTACAGTTTTGCTCATCGGTGGAGCCTGCCTGGCACAGGAGTGGCTGTGAACAATGCTCAGTTGTACATCTCCCTTTGCAGCTGGCTCATGGGTGTATTTGCCAAGTGGAGGAGTAATGGATAGCAAGCTAGAAGCCTGCATTCTCCTGCAGGATCACTATCCCATCCTGTTCAGCCCTCAGGTCTCAGTAAATTGAGGAGTAACACAAAACCTACCAAAAAAGATTAAAACCTACTCTATATTGCCAGCCTTGCACAAAAATGACAACCCTCCTAAAGCTGCAAATAGCTGTAACGTTTTGCATTTACTTCAGAGCTTTCTGAGGACTATTGCTCTTGGATTTTCCCTGGTAACAAGAGCTAGAAATAGATCTGATTTTTTGGGGTTTGTTTTTCAGTTGAACCTGTGATAATGAAATAAATCATTTGCTATCAGGAAATTGAGCTTTGTAGAGAAACATCCACTATTGTCGGAAGCATAGTAAAATCATGACATTTGGTTCAGTTTCAGATTGTTCCAGTGACTATGTCTGGTAGTTACAGTACATTCACATCTGAAACTGCTATTACACCCCTGGTCGTTACCATTGGTTTTAGTGGTAATAACCCTGGCCTTCCACAGTTTTCTCTTTGTTCTGCACTGGTGTTAATGTCTCCTTTTAGGAGTGCAACTTAAAAGTATCTCTTAATCAATGTTCACCCATGTTCACCACAATGAAAGATTGTTGACTCTCATAAATCAGTTTTCAGAGGAGGATACTTTAATTTACTTCTTGAGGAAAGCTTTGCCTTTGTGTTGTATTCTCACGGAAAACTGAATTCAAATCCTGCTGGTGGGACAGTTTATGAATTTTGTGGTAGATTCATTTTCTATTGGTTTAAGATGAAAACACTTTTACTGAAAACTGTTTGTTTATTTCATAAAATATCTCACTCCAGACACTGGTGCTTTGGAGAAAGAGGTTGCTTTTGTTTGTTCATAAATCAAGTAAATTTGGGAAGGCAATTTTGTGAATAATACCAGATTTTGTTGCTGCAGTCTGGGATTAGAGGTTTCTCTTGTGCAGAGCAAAACATACTTTTTTTTTATAAGATGACGTTGGGCTTCTGTACAGCACTAAAAAACATTTTAAGGTTGCTGAATTCCAGGTTTAGGACTAATTTGATGAAAATCTACTTCACTTTTCAGGAATACTGGGAAAAAAAACCCAACCCAGAAATGTATTTTAATTCGTGGAATCTCACTCAGCAATGATTTTTTTGCAGATTTATCACTGATTTTTATCCAGGCAAACTAAACGCAGTGCTGGCTGGGGAAACTGCCTTTCTTTCCCCATTAATTTCCCAACTCCTCCCACAAAATATGAAGAGATGGGGATTCATCAAGCCTGTCAGCTTGCAGCAGGATACCGTCATTGCACCTGAATAATAAATGCACGTTTGTAAATTCTTTTTGCTACCGTGAGCTCTTACTAAGTAATCAGTTTTTTCCTCAATCTGTATATAAAGCATACCCTAACAGATGATTTACATAATATGGATATTAATCCTTTCTTGACAGATGAGCCGTAGACCAAGTTTTTTTGTTTTAGGTCATCAATAAAGTTAGTGGAAAGATCTGCTTCGTCCTCAGTTCTTTACAGAGAGCCACATCCTGTCTCAGTATTGCTGCTCTTGTTGTACAACTTTATGTTGGTTAAAGATGAAATGACCCCACTGTAGTATCTTGGCAAAGATGTGATCTTGCTCCACCACATAGTTTTTGTGCAAGGAGAGCTGATCCATATTTGTTTTTCTTAATATCACTTTGGGTAGCTCTAAAGGAAAGTAATTAATGTGACTGTGTGACCCATTGATTGACCGAGGCCATCTCTTATTTCCACGTGTCCTAAATAGGGCATTACTTTCTTTGAAATGAAGACATGAGGGGTGGCCCATATAGGATGGGGAAATAGCAGAGCCTTCCATAGAGCCGATGTGTTTTCTCATTGCTTTTCTTTGTCTGTTGTCATGGAGAACAGTCTGAGGGAGGGAGAGAGGCAGTGGTAGAATTAAAAAAAATAAAAAAAAAGGAGAAAGAAAAAAGGAAAAAAGGATATGTGACAATTAAGCAGGAGTCTGGGATTATTCATTCCCGATAAAGCCTCCCACAAGTGTGTTGTTTAGGTCATGTCAAATAGGCACTGGATAAGCACACGACTGCGATATGCAGTTTTGCACTCTGTGGTACATGCTGCAAAAATCACTGGTTAGAGAAAGTTCTAGCTCTTGTAAATACTGGTGGCAGTGATCTCTTCTATTACTTTTTCCAGATGGAGTACTTTACTCACCTTTAATTTGGCTGTGAGAAGAGCCATCAAATACTTCAAGAATAACATGAAATGGGGTTTTATTTTACTGAAAAGCCGGCTGGCTAGGCAGAGGGGCTGTATTAGGGATGTTTGCAGCGCAGCTCTGCAGCGGATCAGGGAGCTACCGGCTTTGCATAGCAACGCCGTGGCCGAGCATATTAAATCATACATCACCTTATCCAGCATTTGTCATCCAGAGGCTTCAAAACCTTCCTAAAATAGAAAAAGGTGAATGTTTTTGTTCCCATGCTAGAGATGGAAATGTTGAGGCAAAGAGAAGTCAAGTGCTTTGTCCACAATCGCATGACCAACCAGCCTGTCCAGCGAGAATTTACCCTGAAAGTCAGACCTCACATTTCTAATGACCTCTTTTTTTGGTCTGTGGTCTTCTGTTTTAGTTTCATTTTCTATGTGTTTATGTGGGATGAAATATATAGACTGCAAATGAGTAAATATAATTTAATTTTGTTATTTTTACTGTGACTAAAACTCTCATTTATGCCACGGCAAACTTCTGGCATATTTATGTTTTACGGTTTGGATAATCTGCCAAGTTGGTGTGATTTGATTTTTTTTTTTAATTTTAAGAAATATTACGAAACTCTTATATAGAGGGAAATACATTCTCTGCACTAAATAAAAAAAGAGAAGTGGAAAATAATTTTTTTTTCCTTTTTCAGGATTTCTTAGAATGAGCTAAAGGACAATCAGACACCTAGCATGTATTTTTAATCTCCCCACATTTGTAAATCCCCCTCGTGGATTGTAACAAAGCATTGAAATGTTGGAGTCCTAACTTCTATTTTTTTTAACTTCTAAACACAGAATACATTTCAGGCAAACACATAGCAGAGTAGAAGCTGCCTGTGGGTGTGAAACAGGAAGCACTAGTAGATAGACACATGTATAACAGAGTTACATTTGCTCTTGCTCAACTAGATATACATCAATTCTAATTAACACGTTTTATGCTTCAGCTACTAACGTCCCTTCAGCAGTGAGTGGGTTATGCGTTTCCATCCTGCATATACCACCAGCATCACCACCACGTCCTTCTCTAGCTTCCCCCTCCCCTTTCTACACAAATGTTGCAACACAATCTGAAATTTCCTCTTTTCTTTCCTTCCTGCATTTCTTACAGGTTCCCTTGCGTCAGAAGACAAAAAAGAAAAGTCAAGGTAATGAGAGATTGTTTTTTCATTTCTCTTCTGGGTTGCTCTTTTGTTATTTTCTTAGTATGTCTTATTCTTGGGAGGGTGAGGATTTTATACTGCTACTCAGCTGGTAGAAGGCTGCTTTTTAACTCCTCTGATTCTTGCACCGATTCTGAGAAAAATGACAACGGGCTGTTCCTTTGGACTAAATCCTTGTGGTATGTTAATCGAATCAAAGCTGGAAATCAGTGAGGTAGAATCAGCTGCCTGCACATACACACAAACACACTAACCGTTTTCATGTACTTGGCATAATAGTTTTCTCTAGCTGACTTAAATAGATGTATTCTTTTCAGTGCAGCTGTGCGAAGGGAAATGCATGCACGCTTCTCTTAAAAGGATCAAGGAATATATTTTTAATTTACAAAAACTTGTGTATAGTTATCAGCATTAATTAGTGTCTGCATTATCTATAGCTTACTATTTTGTTTCTGTACATCAGAATGTCTTTCAAATGAATGTGTGTTACTGACACAGCCATTATAAAACTGAACGACTTCTAAGTATATTTTAAGATATGCTTGGATGACTCGCTGAGATTACTAAGTAAGGTTGATATCTTTAATTGGCAGCAACATCTTTCCTGGTAATGCACTTTTAAACAAGCAGAACACTGTATTTTTCATGGCACAGGGTTCTTTATAATGAGCCGACGGAGGATATCGTGTAAAGAGCTGGGGCAAGCTGATTGCCAAGGATGGCTCTACAAAAAGAAGGAAAAAGGAGCTTTCATTGGCAACAAATGGAAAAAGTTCTGGTGTGTGCTGAAGGAGTCATCACTGTATTGGTACAGCAGTCAGCTGGTGAGTACAATGTCCATCCAGCTCTGGGTGCCAGACAAACAGCATCTGCCGGGACCAAGAGAAGGGGAGCTGGGCTCACAATTTAAATGCCCTGGAGATGTACAAATGACTGGGCTTATTTCTCAGCCCCGACATTTCTTGTAACCTGGGAACTGTCTACGTGAATGTGAAACATGCAGAAAACTATATGTTTTCTAGTTCAGTAAGCACTTGTGAAATGTTAACTTGCTATCTGTTCTGCCCTTTAAAGAGCTGCTCTTTGCAAGCACTGCTGGCATTTGAATTTGAGAAAGGTTTTCCTGGGTTGGACAGTTTGCAGACACTTGCTATCAAGACTCAAAACAGGGATGCTTCTTCACTTCTAATTAGTTTAATTTTCAGAAGTCTCTCTCCTGCTTCCCTCTCCTTCCCCTTCCACACTGAGATTAATCTGTTTATTTGTTTGCCTTTTTGTTTGTTTGTTTATTTGTTGTTTTTTTTCTTCTTTTCTTTCTTCTTTTCCCTAGTTTGCACTGGTAGGGTTAAAGATATGAGCACTGTCAGCTGGTAATGTTTTTACTCCTGGTCTTGCTGATTTCTCATCCAGAGCATTGTAATTAAAGGTTCTCACGTTCTGCTGATTTTTTTTTAACTTCCTGTCCTGATGAGTTGATGCTAACAGTCAAATCTGCAGGAGAACACAGTGTTTTGAATTCAAGGTCCAGCTTTCTGTTCAGAGGATGAGATTTCCTCAGGACAACCAGTATAGGTAGTGTTTCTCCTCCAGTGGATCCAGCCTAAATAGCCCACTCCACTTACAGCGTGAGTGGGAAATAATCTGAGACGAACAAGAGCAGGCCCTGAATTCCTGTAATCAGCCAAAGAACTATGAATTAAAAAGTGAAAAAGGGGCAGTGGGGGAAGACACAGTGAGATATCCAGAGTAACCCTTTTAATGAAAGGTTGTGGCCGAGTGCGAAGCAGCAGCGTGCCCTAGAGAACAGCTGGCCTTACTCGAGGCTGCTTGATACAGCTCGGCTCGATCGGGCAGAGAGGGTGTCTCACCCGTCCTAGGAAGATTCAGACATAATTATTCCCTTCACTTTGCTTTCTTGCACTGCTACCTCTAAGAAAGCTCCTGTCATGTTCAAGCGATGGGCTGACAGAGCCCAGAACGGGGGCGTGCAGCGGATTAGGGGATGTTAATAGCAACATAGGTTGAAACTCAAGAGCTTCAGTGTGGAATTGTGGATGAGCATCAGGTTTCCTAAATGCAAATGGGCTGCTCTGGAAATCAGCATGTCCCAGGTCCAGCAAATGATGAAAGATTAAAGAAACCTTTATTAATTCTTATTAATTCTTAGAACATTTTAAGAAATTAAATACCATCTGGATTGTTTCCACTTGTTTATTTCTATTGCAGTAATCCCAACTAAAAATCTTGCTAACTGTTTCAAGGTACGAATAAAATAAATTAAACCATAAAAAAAAAAAAAAAAAATCCCAAAACCCTAAACAAAACTTTACTCACATAAAGAGTATTTCACATTCTCTCTTCAGTTGTAAAAGTATGGTGTTGGGTGTTTTTTTAACAGAATAAAAACTTTGATGGATCTTCCTTGAATGTCATTTAAAGATGGTATTAGCTATTCTTTGGGGGGGGGGGGGGGGGGAAAAAAACTCTGCTGGGCTTGGGCTGTTGGTTTTGTGTGGTGTTGTGGTGGTCTGATTTAGCTTCCTTTCAAGACCAAGTCTCACATGTGTGAGAGAAAGAGAAGAGAGGGGGGAAAAAACAAAAGGCTTTGTTTTTCCAATGCTTCCAATATTTCTGCTTGGAAGATATGGCCTGGCAGACGTACCCCTCAGTGGCATTAATAACCTGCAAACTCTTACTAATATTGACTATTCTAAATCACCACTTGCAGTTGCATCTCTAGCCAAGAAGTGTTAAGAAAGGTGAGCTGGCTGGGTGACATAAAGTTGGGAGGAAATAAAATGAGGCAAGACAAGATAAATTTTGCATTCCAGGAGGAGGAGGGTGGTGGGGAAGAGTTGCAAAGTCCTCCACTTCCTTCACTTCTTGTCGGCTGACTAAATTCTTCTCTTGGGATCCAGACAAACCATGGTCATGCTGATCCCAGTGCTACTAGACAGCATCTGCCATTTGGGTGAATTAGTCCTTTCAGTCCGTGCCTGTTCTCCTGCTGTCACTGACTGCCCCAAAATAAACAAGGCTGAAGAATGGGTTGCAGCCTCATTCCAGTTTATTTCATGTACCCTGAAGAGCTCATATGGCTTCAAAATACTGTAGACTTATGTCAGCCCTGACTTCTCACCTATCACAGTTCTTGTAAACATGCTAGCTGGTAGCACCTTTTTGCTTTCAACTTCTGCTGACTTTCACACACTATTTTATGTTAAAAACCCAAGGTTTCTTTGGACAACTTAAAGTGCAGCCTCTGCATAGTTGTAGATTTGGGCAACATTTGCAGACTGGCAGTAAGTAGGGGGTGTGGGAAGGAGAGGAGGTGTCCTTAGCTAAGATCTGCTTACTTAAATTGATGAGACCAGAGCCACGCTGAGAGTCATATCTGAGATGAGTTATACTCATGGTGTTTTCACAGATATTTGCACCTCTAGATTGATGAAGCAGAAATAGCAGTGACATATTCACTTTCTTGCTTGATATTTCTTTTTTCTATCTGTCCTGGCTTTAATACTGCCTGAACTTCCACTGCCTCCAGTGGACTTAATCCTCGGTCCCAACAGGGCATCCAAGATGACAATCTTAAGTTCACAGTTGTGTTGAAAGAGGAGGACTCCTGCTCCTCATGTGCCTGAGGCTTCTTGTGATGGGTCGTCTTATAGACGCTGAAGTGAAAGGTGGCAGTGGAGGAGCGGGGCTGAGGTTGAAGCAACCAGGGCATGCTGGCTGGCTGCCTGTAGCTCTGCCTGACCAGTTTCGTTCTTGTGAGGAGTGAGCATGTTCGGTTTGCGGCTGTGTAGAAGCTGCAGTCAACCAGACACTGGCAACTGTAGCATAGCAACAGGGTGCTGGACCTAACCTTTTTTTTCTAATGGAGATGGAGAAAATAGGGAGTGGGTGGAATATGTATGGGAATGTGTGTTGTCCCGGATTTGGGTAGGTAACCTTAGCTGACATAGTGTTCTTGGAGAAGTCTGTCTTCAGGCGACTCCGAAGCTCTGGATGTTGCTGTCGCTCTGATTTAATTTGCCTTCAAGCCACTCTGGTTCTGGGTCTTCCACATGAGGCAGATTGGGGAAGGCGATATAGGACACTTGTGGTGATGTTTGCAGACAATTTAACGTAAAATATGTTGCGAAAGCCATAGCATAAAAGAGAAAAAAAACAATAAAATGCTGAGAAGAGTCAGCAACAGCAGATCACATGTCCTGGGAGTCAAGCTTCTCCTTCACTAAAAGCAAACCAGAGCACACAGGCAAATTAGCTCTCAACCAGCTAGCTGAGGTACTGTCAGTGGTAAGGTTAGGGCCCCGGTGGTCTCAGCAGGCTTGGGTAGACTGCCCTGAAACCTTTTCCCATGTACTCTTGTTCTTTCTATAAAACATGGATGCTACAAGAGGCAGGTGAACTTTTGTTTGCAGTACGGACATGCCCCCATTCTGTGGAGGGGAAGCTGTTTGCACTAGGAAGAAACACAGAAGGGTTGAGTTTGCAATGGAAACACAGAAACATCAGAAAGTGGATCCGAGCAGTTGACTTTCTGAGTGCATTCAGGAACACCAGACTCCTTGGACAACTGCTCTTCGTTAGCATTTGGTTCCCTCTTTCAAGTACTGCTCTCTGTAGGCAGCTGCCTTGAAGAGAAGGGTTGAAAGAGGACAGTGTGTGATCGTGCCTGCTCCTTTAGCAGTTTTTTAGTTCTCATACTGAAACCCTGGAGAGAATCCTGCAGTACTCCTGCATAGGAAGAGGGCTGCTGGGGAAGATTGTCACCCATAATCCCAGGCTCCTGGTTCCTTGTGCTTGTTGTGACCGTGTTGTGTAGTGTTGGCTGGAAAGGGACAGAGGACTAAACGCCTCTGTCTTGTGGGCCTTTAGGATAACTCGGCTGGTTTTCCAAGTAGAGTTGAAATACAGTTTTGCAGGATGTGTTAACGATGGTTGTCATGGGGATTTAACTGAAAAGAAATATAAATATAAAATCAAAGGGTTGCAGGCTGTGATCTACTGTCACTATTTATCTTTGGGTTTTTTTTTTTCCCCGTTCACTGCATTTAAATTGGTCCTCACTCCAACAGCTTTGCCAGGAGCTGTATAATTGCAGTCTTTTAAAACAGGAATCTTTCACCTTTGAGTTATAGTAGCTGATTACGCGGATGATAAAGTCATTGATGTCGGCTGATGGTGCCGAGAGCTTTGGGGACTTCTGCTCCAATATCTTACACAAATTATTCACAGTTCTATAGGTTGCCTCACTGGTGTACTTTGCAGACAGAAAAAAGACTAAAAAGACTTGAGGATTGAACTGCTCCTCCAACATCCACAGGGTCTTATGCGGGCAGCGCTGAAACACTATGATGAAGCCATGAGGAGTACCCTGAATTGCGGACTGGAGCCGTTCCACAATAACTAGATATTTTCACTTTACAGCACTATTTTAAAAAATCTTTCTGCACCATTACATTCACTTTAAATATTGAAAAAGATCTGGTAAATGATCTGCTAAATCTAAAGCCACAACATTTAGACAATGTACCAAGGCAAGCTAAAAAGGACATTAGCCTCTTTCATTGGATTTATGCATTATGTTTCATAAATATGTTTGACTATTTTTTTTTTTTTTAGTGAAAAGCTTTTTCTGTGAAAAAGTGGTTACTTTCTTTTTGCCCCAAGCATTTGCAGAGACTATTGTTATTATTGAAATTATTTTTCTACAAATGGGTATAGCAAAAACTGCAGATTTATGTGTTAGGCTAACCTGCATAAAAACCACAAGAGATAACAGCTTATTCTTTTAAACACCCTGATTAAATAAGAAACAGGTCAAGGTTCTTTTAACCTGAGTTTTTTAGGGCTATTTTACAGCATTGTAATAAAATCTGAAGGAAATTTGAGCGAAATGTGTGAGTTAAATAATAGCAGGTTTAAAGTCACATTAAAGATAACATTTCAGAGAAAAGAAAACATTTAGGGCTTCTATACACTTTTAATGTTTTAAAATGTCATTTTTATTCCAAGAATGACTGAAAAGATGACTTCCACATGTTCTGTTCATAGTGTTTATTTGGAATTCTATTTGCTGACTGTAATAATGCTCATAAGGTTTTCCTCTTATGATTTTGTTTCCTTTTTTTCTGATAATTGTGGAACTACATACCTATCAAACCCCTGTTTTCTGTTATATAGATGGCACATCTGAGATGTGTACCAACAGTGCATAAAAATAAAAAAAAAATCACACCATTTTCCTCCGTCCTTTCACTCATACATAAAATGAAACATTAAACTTTTCTTATAAATGAACAAATGTGAAATCACAGACAGAATTAATATAAAATCTGAATGCATTGAGATAGAATGCATATGCGAGACCATAATCTTTTACCAACTGGAACATGCCAAATACTGCATAAGGAATCTGGAGATTTCTCTGTTGTAAAACTGGTAAATGTAAATTGTTGAAATCAAAGTCTACAGACCTATTTTCATTAGCAATTTAGAGAGTACTCCTCTAATTTAGTCATTGGATATGTCAGTGGTTCAAGTCCGAGTTCCATCTCCGCATAGGTGGGAGCATCCCAGGTGAGTGTCCCCACACTGGCTTACAGGGTCTTGATAATTCACTAGTCCAATACAAAATCCAAGTGCTCAAATATTTATATACATTGACAATAGAGACAGTGACTTATCTAATGGCATTTTATGGACTTAATTGCCTCATGAGCGCTTGTGCAGCAACCTAAGTGATTTACGGGCTGCAGTCTAGAGCAATGGCTACTGCACCAACAGATAAAACTGGCTGAGCTGTGATTGCATTCGTAACGTGTAAGGCCAACCCTCCCCAGCCCTGATCACCCACTCACCTACCTGATGACTTTACCTAGCTCAGGCCATGGATTTATTTGTGTGTGGGTGAGAAGGTATCTGGGTATATTCCTTCACACCAGGTCTTCTGGATCACTTTTTTTTTTTTTTTTTTAAACTGGGTTTATTGATTCATACTTCAGAGAAACAACTGGCATTGTATATGTATCTCATCCAGCAATGTGTGTAATAATGGCTTTGGTACCTCATGAACTATTTTTTTGAGATTGGTCTCTGGTGTTCTTAGACTGGTCCTCAGAACCAAATAGGAATTTCAGTGTTCTTGCCACACTTGGTCCAGTAAGTGACCACTCTTTTTGGTACAGAAATGTAGGCTAGTACAGTCTCTATCTTTTGTATGATGCAGCCCATGAATAGAGCTCCTCCTTTATTTATCCCTACTCATTTTCTCATCCTTATATACTTGGTGTACAATGGATTTGGGATGGAAATACTAGCTTAAAGTCTAATTGATTGAAATACACATTAAAAAAACCCCAACTTTAAAAAAAACCTGTCACTTTTTTTTCTTTAGTTGATTGCTATTTTATCTCAATGATTTTAGTCTCACTAAATTCCAAACTGTGGAATGGAAACAAAAGTTCCCCAAGCCAGGGTCTAAACAAGTTTGTTGAAAGATACAAATATAATCAGAGAAATTTAAAAACCCACAATAGCAAATAAGCACTTTTTGGTACAAACTAAGTGAATTTGAAAAATCAAAGTTTTTTTCAGCCCAGATGCTGATAAACATCATTGTTTCTTCTGTACTGAAAGAAAATAACCAAAAAATCCCTCCGCTGCTGCTTTTTTTCTTTTTTTCTTTTTTCTTTTTTCTTTTTTTTTCTTTTTTTTTCTTTTTTTTTTTTTCCCCCCCCATCCTGGAGTGAGTGAAACCATTTACTCGTGAAACTTCTCATATGAATATGTAATACCTGTAAAATGCAGGAATGATGGTTATGCTGTGATTTATTGTATACCAAAGAACAGATATGCAGAGGTGCAAAGAAGCCAACCAATGAAATATCCATTCTGTACCCATATTTCAGTTTTCAGAAACTCAGACTTCCAAGAATTAAATCTCAAAGACTTGTCTCGATGAACATCTTTTTATAGTCTCTTCATATTCGTGCATAATGTGCCTTGAGATGCTGTCAGTCATCTTCATTTATCCTCTGTCTTTGTAATTGTTGTGTGTATTTTACCTGCTTTAACTCAGTGTACGGTTTCAGAATTTTAATGTGCCCAGGGATAAGGACTGGGAGCAGCAAAAAAAAAAAAAAAAAAAAGATTCAGGAATGAAGACTTTCTGTATTTTGTAAAGTACAGTTTTTCCTGACATTCTGTGCTACATACTTTTGTCTACATTATTGCTTCTCTTAGGAGAAGTCCTAGTCTTATTGCGGCTGATTGGTTGAACGTAGGTAGAAGTAGTAAAGGAAGATGTTTCAGCTGCAGGCAGCAAGAACAGGGGTTTGAGGCTAACTGGTAACTTCAGTTTTGCTGGAGCAAAACTCTGACACTCTCTGAGTCCAGCTGACCCAGAACAGAGATGCCAATGCTCAGTAAACCCTCTCCCATCCAGAAAGGGGTGACCACATATAAACAGTGGGCTGTAAATGTCCGCTTGGCTTTTGCTACGTCCTGTACCATGCCTGCAAATTTCTTGGGGGGAGTGATAGCTGGGTGTCCAAAGCCACCTGAGGCTACTTTGCAGTGTTTAACAACAGAGCTCTGCTGCATGGGACCATCCCCTTGCAGCCTTTCACCTCCTGGCGTGGAAGCAGCCCATATTGCCTCTGCCTTGCTCGTGTACAGGCGTATATAGGTGACCCTACGAAACGGTCCATGCTGCAATTACCCAGGGGAGACTCTCCTCCATCTCTACCTAGGATCATTTTGGGTCACTTTTGAATTCCCGTCACTATAGATGTGTATCTTTCAAATATACATAGATCATTATATGTGGTGCTGTTACACATCTGTGTAACATGCATCCATACTGTATAATGGAACAAATGCTCCTTTGAGATTGTGTCTGTCATCCAGACTTGAATGGATGATTCATTCTCTCTTATGTCATCCATCTCTTTTGAGAGGCCTCTGTTTTTAGAGCTGAGGTTCGGCTGTTTGATTTTTGGTGGTCTATGCACAAAGCATGGCTGGTATCTGTCAGAAGAAGTCGTGTGATCACTGATAGCTGCTTGGGTGAATGAATCAGGTTTCTCCACCTTCCCGATGTTTTTAGTTCTGGTTTAATCCAACCCTAAATTTTGGCCTTGACGATTTCAGACTCTGGACTAGACTTATGACTTGATGAATCTTAGATAAGGGTGCTCTGATACAAATGCTTTGAGGTGAGGAGGAGAGGGAATCTACTTCAGCACTATTTAGGAGTTGAGGATCCTTCCTCTTTCAGGTGCTTTGATATTTAGAAGTGTACAACAAAGCCTATGCTCACACTTCACCACTTGCACAGACAGGAATGGTGGCTTTCTAGCATCCAGGACTTGCACAAATAGTAGCTGGTATAGGAATATTTCTTATTCCCAAATATCAGCCAAAACGTCAGGTGTTAATCTGTCCCCATGGTGATGAGCATATATTTTCACACTATAAAAAGCTGTCAAAAACAAGCATTTGCATGTTAAATATCACTGAACATTGGAGTCTGGTAGTTTGCCAGTTGGTTGATGTGGTGATTTTTAAATTGCTTTTTTATTGCAGGCTGAAAAAGCAGAAGGATTCATCAGACTTCCAGACTTCAGTGTGGACCGAGCAATTGAATGCAAAAAAAAGCAGTAAGTTTATTTCTTACCCCCCAGTTTTGCATGATTTTTGCAATGTTGCAAGGAATCTCAGTAGTGCCTGACAATGAAGCTGTGGGGAGCTCTTCTGTGTTGTGTAAATAATGAGATATTAATTGAGCTACTGAAAGAAAACCATATTGCAAAAATATTTTTGAAAATTCTCTGCCAGATGTGTTCTGTTAAAACTACAAATAAAAAAGTAGATCAGTATGCCAAATGCTTTTTTTTTTTTTTTTTTCCCTTCCTTTCTTCTTTGTTCACTGATTATGAGTAAGTCGTAGTCTATCTCAGATACCTTCTCTTCGGTGGGGAGGTCAACAGTGGTGGAAGCAATGCTGCTTCCCTCCAAGTCAGGACTATTCTTTAGGCTGCCGTGGTGCAACTGAACTTGGGCTCTACTTGAAGCCTCTGTTTGTGCAGGGAACAAAAACTTGATTTAGCAGGGCACACATTTCAAAATATTCTCTCCAAACTCCATATGCAGCACTGACTTCCAGCTGCTTCTGAGTACACTTCAAAGGTTGGGAGGGGTGTTGCTGCTGTTCAAAGTTGTTAGAAAGCTCAGCATGGTTTTTATTCTGTGCCTCAAGAGGAAGCCGTTGTTCTTCTGTTTGGGTCTCATGCTGCGATTAGGTGTTCTTGAGATTAACTGTAGGCTTGACTCCTCCAAAGAAAGGGGACAGCTATTTTGAATATGGGGAGCTTCATTTTGTTTTCTCAGAGGAAAGGTTGAGTCACATAGTACAGAACCATGAGAAAATGTTGCCCTTCACTTCTGCAGCTGCTGCTTGTCAGTGACTGGGAGGAAAACATGTGCTCATCACTTATTTGGGATAGGGTAAGTTAGGAGAACTGTGAGAGGTAATGGGTGTCGCTGAGTCAGCTGGGTCCCAGTCAAAGAGTATGGGTTTCCGGGGACGGTCAGTCACCAAGTAAGGAACCACAGAGGGAAGCCACAGTCTCAGGATCGGAAACTATGTTTTAGGGAAAAAAAAAAAAAAAAATCTCTTAAAAGTCTTACTGGTGGATATTTAACTAAAGCATAGTCTGGGGCTGAGACCAACAGGTTAACTATTGTAGTCAGGGGACTACCTCCATTTTGTTTGTTTCAAAACTTCCACCTAGTTTCCTCTTTGGTGCCTCCTAAAACTTGTCTTGGAAAAGACAGTGAAGAGTCAATCCATATTTACCTGCTGCATGCCGCTTGTGATTTTATTGTATCGCATGTCCCTTCCCTGAACCATGTTTCCCATGCTGTGGGGTCTTAGCTGGATTAACCACTCATGGAAGCGGTTTCATACCTGGGGTCACCCCTGGTGCTTTCTCTGAACCTTTTCAGGTTTACTTTGCTCTACAGAGCTGGAGGGGGAGCAAAACTACACACAGTATTCGAGATGTAGACGCGCAACAGAATTATGTAATGGAATAATGAAAGTCTTCATTTGATTCTTTATTCCTTCCTTTTTAGTTCCTGTAGTTTATACTCTCTGAATAATGTGTGGCCTAGGAAATGAGCTAAAAACAGACAAGAGTTTTAAGGAAAGAGCTATATGGATGGGTGAGCTGATCTGGCTTAACATAGCGCAGTGAATAAATATTTAAAATAATTCATTCAGCTATTATTTTTTCTTTCTTATGTAAACTAGTTTTCTTTATATCTCTTCTATTTTTCTTTTCTTAAAGTGCTATTAAGATCAGCCACCCACAGATCAAGACATTTTATTTTGCGGCAGAAAATGTTCTGGAAATGAACACGTAAGTAGGAGCGACTGGCCATGTTTCATCCTGTCTCACGCCTGAGAACACCCTTTGAATGTTTATTATCTCACTGTCAAGTGGTTGTTGACAAAGTTATTCGGGGAATTACTGAGTCTGTTTTGTTTTCTGGTCACTGTATAGAGGGAAACTACTATTATTTGTTCACTAATGACAGCTGAAATCAGAATCACATTCTTAGCCTGATTTCGATACTAATCTTCCCAACGTTCGCTGGTATAAATCCCTTTCTGTTAGAGAGGTGCAAAGATTCGATAGCAAGTTCATCACCTTGGGAGAAGTGAGGGAAGAAAGGAAAGAGAGGGAAAAGCTTAATATAGTTTTGTCCCAGAAGTGATCTAGGACTAGAATATAATAGTGTCTACTTTCAGAGTCAGTCAACAAGGAGGGCTAAAGGGATGGAAAGAGCTGTTTCTTTAACGTAGGTAAGCATTTACTTCAGTGCCAAACTACAGTGCAGTTAAACGATCCTCATGACAGATCAGAAATTTTCTTTCCACAAATGTCTGTAAAAACAATTCATTCATGCAATTTTTAATGCAAGAAGTAAAAATGGATATGAATACTGCCATTTTAGAAACCACTAAGCTATCAGAAATAGATATTATTTGCTATTGATCCAGTTTTGGCTGATTTAGATACATCTCATATCTTATTTTTTTTTTTTTTTTTACTTCAGATTGCAGTATGTTCACAATGCTATTGCATTAAATGTCCAAATACTGGATACAAAGCAGTACAATTTAAATGGGAAGAGAGCTCCTATAATAGTCGGGTCAGGATTTTAATCATGGTTCTGCTGGTGATCTGAGTGAGATTCTTCATAGGGCATTGACTGTTCTTTCCCTCTGTAAATAGGAGACCTCATACATTTTTACCACAACAGAAAAGGGCAGAGGTTGAGAAAACGTGTGTGATCTTCTAAAAGAGCTATAGATACAGAAATGTACGATACTACAGTAGTATACATACATAGAGATATATATATAATCATAGAATCATAGAATGGTTTGGGTTGGAAGGGACTTCAAAGATCATCTAGCACCACCCCCCCTGCCTCAGGCAGGGACACCCTCCACTAGACCAGGTTGCCCAAAGTCTCATCCAACCTGGCCTTGAACACATCTGTAGATGGAAAGAACACGTGGCCCTTTGCAACGTGGAGCAGCGCAGAACATACTGGTGTGGAGCTAACCATCCATTTCTGTATCCCTGCGTTTCCTACTGGAGCTGCTGAATGGAATAAGAATTTCTTGAGGCAGATGGGCTGAGGATGACTGAGAATGAGGGACTGCTGGACAGGAATATTTCTGTAGAGAGAATAACCTGGTTGAGAGAGAAGAGAGGAAAGGATGTAGGGAGGAGGAAAAGGAAAATTACAGCTAATGGAGGACATTAGTGAGTGCTAACAGTCAGTTTGGAGCCCAGCTGGAAATTCTCAGTGTCTTAATGACGCTTTTGAAATGTTTAGTCTCATGTGAGTGATTGAAATCTATGCAGGTGTCCCAGATCTTATGGCCCCGGAACGATTTTCTTCAAACTCCACTTCTTGAGTAAATTTCATTTTGGCTTAAAGCTAGGTAGCCTAGTGTTAGAGCAGCTTGCACTATGCTGAACTAATACTAATTCTTCACTGTTGTAACTGATGATGTTTTCCTTGGCAAAGTATAAAATACATATAATACATAAAGTACACGCATACTCACGCATATGTCAAAATAGACTAAAAGACATCTGTTCTCTTGGCTCCAGTCCCACAAATACATATGCATATGAGTGGTTCCACTGAACTCACTGGGGCATTTGTGTGTGTCAAGTTACTGGTGTGCGTAAATGCTCGATGGATCATGACCTTTTGTAACTCTTCATGCATATATATATTATATTGGCAGTGGATTTATTAATACAGTCATTTGCTTCATTAATTTAGCATATATTTGCTATTGTCATGCACAAATGTAAAGTAAATGCAGACTGGCTAGCCGCATGCATTTACCTGGCCGTCTGTCTGACCATCTACCTTTGCATGCAGTTACTAGCCGTCTGTCTGACCTTGTGGTTAATGAAGTCCTGGATTTTTTAGTAAACCTTTTCTTTTGTTAAGACTTTTTTATTTAAAAAAATAATTCTGTTATGATTAGCTGTTAGAAGAAAGTCAGTAATTCACTCTCATAGAAAGGACACTTTGTTTTCTTGAATTGTTATGTGGCTCTATTCATACTGCACTGTAAAAATCCTGTTACTTTGACACTGATCTTACTAGCAAATTTCCCATTGCTTCAGTAGAATCAAGATCAGACTCAATGTTTTTTCAGAGTTATGAATCTTAATTCATGCCCTTCATATGTTCCCTATTTAGGCCTTGAGTTTTAATCTGAAAGGCTTGAGTGGTTTTAGTTGTTAGTTTCTTAAAATCTGGATAGAGCTGAACGACCTACAAGCAAACACAATATACAGAAAGTATATCCAGGGATTGTTTCTAGCACTAGAAAAATGCAGCCACCTAGGAAGAGTAATGAAAAAAACCCTCCCTGTTAATAGCTTAAAGCAACACAGGAAGTGAGACTTACTAAAAACAAAAGTACACAGGGAGTTGAAGAAAGCAGTATATATGGTCAGAAAGTTTGGTTTTAAATGGCTTAGATTCTCAGTCTGTGCCGTGATAGCTTTGGCCAGGGCAGCTGACATCATCTTCTATGGCTCCTGTGCCTTTTGCTTCATCTCGGGTGAAGGAGAGAAGGACTAAGCCACTGACATTGTGTTATAGCACACATACTTTTCCTTCAGCTTCCATGAATGCAACTCCTTGGTCATCAGTAATGCTTTTTTCAGCATCAGGGAAAGAAGATGTCCCAGGCAACTCGTCCTGCTCACCACAGGGAATATTAGTATTCAGGTAACTGGTGCCTTTCTAGAAGACAATCTAAGAAATAGAAAGAAACTTTGACATTTAGTCTTCAGGTTAATGAAAATAGATGTGGTGAAGTAGAACACATCTGAAAGGGGCAGAAGTCTGTCTGCACAGCATGCAAGTATCCCTAACTCTGTTCCCTCTGTTTCAAACACAGGTGGCTAAGTAAGCTGGGGATGGCTGTAGACCCTCAGGAACCCAAAGGGAAGAATGAGGAAGGTATGCTCCCAAAGGTGGTTTCAGAGTGTAACAACATCACGTTCTTCACAGTTTTTGCTTGGCCAAATGTTTGTCAGCTTTTCTCTTTCTTTTAAATTGTCAACTTGCGTCCGTCTACTGACTGAGCTCAGAGAAACCCCACTGACACAACACAGAATAATCATAGAAAAAGAAACAACGGCGAGAAACGGTGCCACTGAGAAACACTCAGTGATCGTGTGAGAGGTGTGTAACTACTCTCTGGCAGTTTGCTAGCTTTGTATGCCTACCAAGTGTGAAGAGAAACAGCTGTGCTGCTCTGGGTTCTGAGCTGGTAAGGTATGTTACAGGAGTTGTGCTACAGCCTGGAAGCTTGCTAGCTTGGGAACATCTTGTGCAATGTAGACCCATCGCTAGTGTCTCCTCCATTCCTGGGGGTTTCAACAACAGCGATGTTCAGGGGGTGGTAGTGGTGTACTGAAGCCTACCATTTCCTTCAGAGCCAAGCCCAAGAGTTCATTGTGGAATGAGCAATTTTAAAAGTTCCCTAGTAATTTTGTTGTTGTCTTAATTTGCACACTGACCTAATAGAACATTTTGGTGGTAGGATACCTGCACTTGAATCACAAATCTGGGCAGAACACAAAGAAAGTCACCTGTCAGAGAGCTTGGAAAAGCTGCTGGTGAGGGGACACGTGATGGGAGCTGGTTTAGAATGAGAAGCGCTGTGGGTAGTATTATGTTAGCAAACCGGGGATGGGCTCTGACCTGAGGAATATGTACCATCTTCTGGGCTTTTGACCCTCCATTTTTAGAGTATTGGTACCCAGTGCCTTTTCTAGAACTGCTCAGGTTGTGACGGGTCTGTCATTATGAAGAAGAAACTGGTATTTGTAGTAGTATGAACACTTAGGTGATGCAGCTTGTATTGTCTAAGCACTGAAATGCTCCCTTTGGCATCCCTTCTGCTTTTCCAGAATAAGGTTGTGGTTTGAGTTCAGGCTTTGGACATGTAATTCCGTTATTGATTAGTCTGATCTGGCTCTGTTTACACTGTGGCTCCATTTATATTCTGCCATTAAAAGCAGCTTTGGGGCTGGTAAACGTAGATACCACCGATTTCTGGAGATTCAGCAGGTCTCATCAATTTCTTTGTTTTCAGTTCATGGTTTCTCTTTATTTCTTGTCAGGAAACTCATTAATTCCCATACCCCAAAATTCCTCCAAAATGCCTGTGTCCTCTTTGAACCCAATTTTGTATCAAACCAGTCAGAGATAATTAGGATAAAGGGCTATATTGAGTATTAGACTGCATAGCAAGAACTGCATGTTAATTGTACTTGGGAAAGAAGTGTCCAAATACGTTGTCCATGTTTTCACAAAGGAAGGGTTTGATGAAAGATGAGGTTGGTCAAAATTCTACACATGAAAACAATTTTTTTAAAGCCTCAAAAAAATGTAGTATTAGTTGTGTTGTCTGAGTTGAGAATTATAAAACAGTCCAAAATGAGTCAGCCCACTAATCTTAATAAAAAAAAAAGATACAAAATGATCCATTCAATAACCTCTGCATCAGGTTATCCAATTACCCAGCACTAAACATAACATACCCAAGATTTCTTCATCTTTTAAAGCTGGTGGCCCATTTCCCCTTCAGAAAAAGGCACTCTGACTCTGGTGTCAAACACCTCCTTGTCTTTCCGTGCGTGTTTTGTCACAGGTGCTCCAGCAGCTGCCTTGAGCGTGGGTTCAGCACCCCACTGACGCGCCTGGGCGGACGTCCCCTTGCAGAGGCATTGCTGTGCTTCAGAAAAACGCTGTCGTTACCCACAGCCACTGCTGTTCCTACTGACCTAGTTCTGACCTCCGTATCACACACCATAACTCTTCAGGAGGGTCTTGGCTCTTGTTATGGCAGTTCTTGCATATTCATGTGCTTTCTATGCATTTTAATACACCCCCCCCAACCCCATTTGCCTATTTAGAGTATCAGAAACAGCTGTTGATTCTTTTTCAGTTCTTCTGTGTGCCTAAAAGGGGAGCTGTAGAAACAATAAGGTCTTTACTAAGAGTTATTCAAGAAGGCATTAATAGAGCCTTAGAATTTGATATAGGCCTTATTGCAGCCGATCTCAGTCCTTTATGCTGAGATGTGCCAGCACATATTTCCAGTAAACAGACTAGCAGCTATGCTATTAAAAAACCCTATAGTTCTGCCAACAGTAGGGGGAGAAAAAAGTAATGAATCTCTAAGTTTCACTTCGTTAACATCTTAGAAACTTCCCTCTCATGTATAAAATTCTTCTCTCTTAAAACTTTGTTCCCCTCACATTGTGCTTATTAAAACCCCCAAATGACATGCACACACACACAAAAAAAAAGTATGCAGGTATTAATTTAGTTAAAAAATGAGATAATCCCAGGTGATTTCCCAGAGATTGTGCTAACACACTGCTTTCTAGTGGTGTGAACCCATGAAGTCCAGCTCTTACAGAGTACTCCCAGAACGTAAAGCACCCTCGCCCACATGGGGAGAGAGCTGGAGGGTTTTGTTTCCAGCGGAGAGACCCAGCTGCCCTTGGACAGCACGAGCGGCTGCGTGCAGCGGGCAGAGGGAGAGGCAGTGCAGAGTGCCGGCTCCTCTGGGGACCACGGGGACAGCCTCTGCTCTCGTGGCACTCGGCGCTCGCTCACGTTGTCCTCATTAAGCTCTGGCTATGTCTTTGCAACCTTTCACGTCTCCAGCTCGGTCGGGTGGGGGTGAGCACTGTCACCTCTCACACGCAGTGCAGGGCAGGGTGCAAGCACTTGCTCGTGTGAAGGTTGGATGTGAAAGGCTGATGCGTGCTGGGAGATGTAGCAGAGGGAAGTGATCTTGTCCAGTGGTTACAGCCAGGCCCTGGGAATAGGAACCAGCAACATACTGCCTCCCCTTTTCTGTGTCTTATTTTATCAATGAATATCATTTCATTTAATCTACTTTTAAAAGACATCTGAGAAAATGCTTTCACCTGCTACACAGGTAGTTGAAATAATGAAAATAACAGCACAACTGCCTCTCTGCCACATGTCAAGAGATACTGAGGCTCTATCAGATTGTTTTTTATTAAAAAAAAAAATAAAAAATTGAATGGGATGTATAGTCCTACAGTACTGTGTTTACTTTTAGTACTAGGTGTGCACATGTACTGCCATGGTGCACGGCGTGCCTATGATGTGAGTTACTGTGTGCTGACAGAAGACTTTCATGAGGCTGCTCTATGGTTTCCAAAGCACCATGCGAGCAATCTGTTTTCTCCAAAATTGCAGCCAAAACACCAATGCCTGTTGCTAGCTCCAGGCAAACTCATTGGTTACAGAGATTAAGGGACAGTATCTGCTACTTGCAGCAGGTCTCCCTGACTTATGCTACAAATGGTGCAGCCTTTCTTTTAAAGGCTGCAAAGAGATGGGAAAAAAACCCCAAACCTATTTATGAACCTATCTAGAGCAGTGCCACCTAGTGTTTCCTGCGATAGCAACTTAGCAACGTTTTTCACTTGAGAAAAAAAAAAAAAAAGGTAGCGTAGCATTACCACAAGTGGGTTAATTTTCGCCCTAGAAGACACTGACTTGTTACAGTGTGGTCCTCAGCCCAGAACATCCTACTTAGGGATCTTTGGTTACCACAGTGCTGGGAGGAATAAATGAGTGTCGGTCTAACACTTTGTTTTTGCTCATTTTCCATGCCTGCCTCAGAGTGTTACAGTGAAAGTGAACACGATGATCCAGAAATAACAGACACGCCACCTCCCCCCTACAAAGTCCAGCCATCACCTCCTCCTCCTTCGGTAAGTGTTACAGTAATTAGCTTGTTTCTTGTTGCTAGCCAGTTGGAATAAAACTTAATCTTGAGGTAGTGGACCTTTGAGAAATAACCTGAACCAGTGGCTAGAAATGTTGACCCTGTGTGCCTGTGAAATGAGGATGCACTGACTGCATCATGGCAGAGCACGCAGTTATTGCAGCCTGTGCTGCTGGGAGCCTCACACTGTAAAAGAACAGCTCCTTCAGATGGAAGCATATTTATCTTGCTGGAGAAAGGAAAGTGTCACGCTACCTCATACGCACGCTGTGTCTTTTCTTTACAAGGTTTTTATCACACTACCGTAACCTAGTTTGTCATGCTATTCTTTTATTTTTAATCAGTCCCAAATCTTCTTTCTTTTTGTGACCCCGGTAGCATCATCCAACAGATTTGGATTTATTTATTTGAGTGAGCTGTTCTTAAGACTGCTGAATTTGAAGCTGCTTTTGTGGCAGTGAAGTGAAAGGAAAGAGGCCTCTTCTTACAGTGATAAAGTCGGTTCTTTTCCTCTACCCCTCAAAAATAGACTATAAAAAAGAAAACAGGCATCCTCCCAAAATCTATGCTATTTTTCTCTCTTGCTGTAGAGCATTTGCCCAGAATATTCCTTCCTGCCTCACTTCATTTCATAAATTAGAATAAGCACTATGCACCCTTATGTGTCTAATCAAATTGACTTGCCTAATTATTAGCCACTTATCTCCCTGTTAATCTTGTTTCTAGATTATTGCTTTCCCCAGTGATCTCATCTCCCCTTACCTGTGCTTTAAGATATGAGATTTAACTAATTCTATGTTTAGAAATGAGTAAGCTGGTTTGGGATGGTAATGCAGCTGAAATAAGGAAACCTGAGTTCAAGCCTTTCCCTTCCCCATCTGAAAGTCATCATTGAGGGGTATGCAGTGATATACTTAGTTCTAAATCATCTCATGGAAGTGTCTGCTGCCTCCTTGGTGTGGTACAGGTTCCCGTATGGCATGCTGAAATGACGTCCAGTAGCTGGTGTGGGCACAGAGGCAGCAAAGCTGGAACAAATTTGAAGTGTACAGATGAGCTGGAGAAGCTTGCGTGGTCACAGGCAATAACGAAAGGAGATGTCATGCACAGAGTTGCCTGTCTGGCAATCTTTAATTAGCTCGCATAAAGCTGGGAGCGTATGTCACACTGTCACTCACTTGCCCCCTTCTGTTTCAGTCAGATAAGTCAGTCTTCACTTCCTCTCCTGAAACAGTTGTGTAACGTTAATCACTGTAAACCGATCCACCTGGCACGTGGGGGGTGCGTGGTGTTCACTGCTGTGTAAAACGTGATTCTTTATTGCCTGTAGTAACTGGAAGTTAAATGTGGCCCAGTGGCTATAAATATCGGAGAAAATAGGAACCTTGGCAATGTATCTCTAAGAGTTATACTGGGCCAATAATAAAGCGTCTTGAATTTTATACCTCAATGGCTTGCCTTTAAGAGGCTGTAGATGTCTATTCCCTCTGCTCACCTCTGAGTGAATGCCTGAATTTTTCCAGATGATGAGTTTTAAACAGGTGCTGGTTTTTAGTTTTCTGTTTTTCTGGCTTCCTGCTGCCTGTCAATCTGTTGCTGCAGAGGCGATCTCCGGTTGTCTCCTTCCCATATGCTCTTCTTGAGTGCTGGCCTCCATGTTTTAGCAGGGGACGCATGGGAGGCAGGCAGTGGTGCAGGTGCCGAGGGGTCCTGCCTCCTCAGCCTTTCCCTTAAAGGTTAGCTTCCCTCCAGCCTTTACCTCTCTCAGCTGATTTCGCTTCTCCTCATCCCCAGCTTAAAATCCCTTTCCCCATGATAGTGGTTAGTGTCTCCTGAGCAAAATTGTCGTCTTTTCACCCCAGAAGTGGCCACTGGAATAAGCTGCAGCTGCCATGGGTCTACCCTATGCTCAGCTTGCTTACATGGTGGGTAGGAACAGTTAGGTACCAACGCAGCTATGTTTGACTGCAAGTCAGAGTCTTCTTTCAAATACCTGATTTAATGCCCCATTCCCTTCTGGACAAGTACTGAAGCAAGAAAACCACTGGAAGGATTGGGAAAGGACAGCTTCTATTGGAAGGTCAATTCTAGGAGTGGAGTTCTTGGTTGTCTCAGGGAAGGCTGGTTACATATTGCTTGCTGCCTGTTTATTCACTGTGGAGTTTTTGAACCGTGTGCGGTCCCAAACATGTCATGGATTTGGGTTGATACTCCCTGGGTACACCACTTTTGGAAGGCCTGCTTGAATCTTTTCAGATTGCTACTGGCAGAGACACTTATACTCGAAACCCAGCCCAGGGTCAAGAGTACCACAGGCATTGACTGGGGTTCATTTCTTTTTATTATTTTTATCTCTTTTTTTTTTTAAAGTTGCTTTTCTTCCTCCCGAGTGCCAAAGGGATTTTGCAAAATAGGGATTAGGAGCTATGGACATTTTGGAAAATCAAAACAATGCTGTCATAAGCAGAAAGGCCTCCAAACTTCTTGAGATCAACTCCAGACAGAAAACTATTAGTCTGGAAACTAATAGCCACCCAGGTGCAGGCTCTGTTACGTGGTAAGGCAGCAAACATTTTGTTGTACTTCTAGCACAAAGTTTTCACTTGCTGTTCTGTTTTCTGCTGACCCAAACTATTCTGAAACTTGAAAAAGAAAAAAGTAGTCATTATGACCTTTCTAAGTTTATGCATGCTTTTGAGTACTGTGGAAGAAAAAAGCAAGTGAGGAACTAGTAAATTTTAACATCTGTAGGACAAAAGTTAAACTGACCACATGCATTAATTTCTCCACATGTGAATGGATTTACAGTTGAAAACCCAGGAGCTATGTTGAGACAATAGATTGCAGCAGTCCCAAAAGAGCCGTTGAGGTGTTTCACGGTGATAATTTTTCTCTTAAAAATGCCTAGAGACTCATTGATCTCCAGTGGAATCCTTATGATCTGCTAGCTCAAGCATCTGCTTTTTAAAATGCCCCCAAATGGAGATTTATGATTATATGGATGATTGCAAAACTTCCAAAGGAACCACTCAAGTAAGGTAAACAGTTGTCATACCAAAGAAAAAAAACCCCAAACCCATAACACATATGTAAGGAAAAAGAAACACATTCTGTCAGTCATTTTTATTCTCAACACATTTTTTTATTTAACACACAATGAAAATGAAAACAAAAATATATTCCACTCAGTGAGCCACAGTTTTTATTTCAATGGCACTTTCTTTTGCATGGGCAAATGCCAGAAAAATAGAGGTAAGAGCTAACATCTTCCTTTCCTGTCTTCGAACAATTGAAATTAGACCATTCACACAACCTGAGCAAGAGCTTGTACTGTTCAGTTGTTCTGCTAGGCTGTACAAATTCTTCAACAATTTGTCTTTGTGATAGGAACTCAGATGAAATGGTTCAGGTCACCTGTGTTCCCAAGAGCATTTTTCTCACTCATACATGTAGCTTATGACAGCATCTCCTTGTCCTTTGATTTAGGATAGTTTGTGAAGGTTTCCTTTTTAAAAACAAAAATGCACCTGAAAAACAATGTTCTACTTCTTGTAATAGGAATATAAATTATGTCTGATCCCACAGTGTTTGGGACAGTCTTGGAGGAATGGCTTTGAAAATTTACAAAAGTGATTTTCTTTTTACAAAAGTGCTACAAACAAATGGTGACAGACAATCTGATATTGATCCTCATCTCCTGAGTTGATTAGTAGCTACGTGTTATAGCTAGGCAGAGGAAGGCAGATCTACTTTGCTTTATAATGTAAAAAGGAAGTAGTATATATTACAGCAACACTGAATTGCAGAAGTCTATATATTATAATCTAAAAAAAATTGTCATTCTTGGTTTGATTTATATGAATACATCTTATTTCTAGCTTACCAGGTTATAAATAAATATTCCAGGCTAGTCCCTTCATTGTGTTTGCAGCTTGTCCGGGTTTCCCTAGCAACACCTTCTCAGTAATTTTCAGTACTTCCAGTCTATTTATCATCTGTTTTAATCCTTACACAGATCTATTCAACATATGCATTGAGAACATAAACTTGCCAGAATTGTGGTCCATCGAGTCTGGTATTCTGATTCTGGCATTGGCCAGTAGCAGATGATTTGCAGAAGGAGGAAATTCCTGCAGTAGCAGATACAAGAAATCTGGCTTTCATATCATGATGATCTCATCATGATTTCTGATAATTTCTGCTAAAAGCTTCACTATAAGGCTTTGTCTCCCCTTGTCTTCCATTACTTTATTACTGTCAATTAATCCTCTTCTGCGTATTTGTACGTGTATTTATGTGATTGTGTATGTGTTACTTGTGTATTTGACTCTCCTGGCTCATGTTTTCAGCGGTGTTTGGTGGCTAAGAGGCAGACTAAGGTGAGTTGCTTTTGGTGACCAGATAATAGTACAACTCAGCCAATGTAAATGCCTACTGTCGACAAAGACCTGGGCATCTATTTGCTTGTCTGGGAAGCTAAATACTTTTCAAAACTTTGTTCTTTCTCTCAGCCTTTCTTTACATTGAATTGTGCATCTATCATACCCTCTCTCATTCAACTCTTAGGTCCTAATGATGACTGTTAGATGTCTCTGAGACTTCTCTGGTTGTATGTGCTCTTGTTGAGGTAGGGTGACAAGTATGGTGTGGAGGGCCCTAGGATGTCTTAATGATTTCTGATGTGTTTCTAGTGAAGTTTGGGTCCCTTTCCAGATTCATGTGCTGGAGGATGAATCTTGGCAGGTGAATAAGCAGCACAAATCTTGTGCCATTCCCCTTTTCCTGCCGCCTTCTTGTGGCGCTCTGTTTTTTCTTTCCACCATTAACTTGCCATCATATTACTCATCAGCCTTCTTGCCTTGGTGAATGATTAGTCCCTTGAATGGACCAAGTAAAAAGGCTTTGTGTGCTGAGAAGGTCAAGGTACTTCAGTGCTTGGGCCCATTTCTGTCTATCCATAGTTACGGCATTGGTGGATTTGTTGAATGCTTCAAGACAATTTAATGTTCATGTTAATTTGGAATTTCTCTTCTGCACCCTTGATCAGTCCAATAAAGTGAAGACAAAGTAAAGAATGAACTTGAGTGTGAGACCTAGCATGAAGGCTACCTTCAAGACAGTATTTTTCCTTGGTCTTTTGTTTCTAGGCATTGTCAGGTTTTTATCTCTTTTACGTCTGGCTTCCTTGTGGCTTAGTTTCTGAAGTTACTGCTCTGTAGGATATTTGCTGCCATATCTCAGAGTTGTTTGGATGGATAATTAATCAGATTACATCAGTTTTTGGTCAGTTAGCATTTCAGCTGCATATCTATAACCTGTAGAACCTAGGAACAGGAATAACTTGGAAATAATTTTTCTTTTTTCTCCCCCCCTCCCACTCCCGCCGTTTTTCTGGAAAGCAGGATCAGCAGAAGTCTTCTTTCACCTCGACTCTGTCAAGTGAAGCATCTTGTTCTCTCTCCTCTCCTGAAAGCACTTTCAACTCCCAAGAGTCATCTTCTTCCTTGACGTCCAAAGTGGTTTATTCTGAGAGGCAGTCCTGGCTTGACCTAGTTAACAGCTCTGCCACAGAAGAGGGTGATCAGCCTTTAACTTTCTGCGTACAGATTCACTCTGATGAGCTGCCAGAAGTAGACTGTGGAGAAGCGGCAGAAAGCCAGGAGGTCCAGCTTTCCAAACCCAGTGGTGGATCCCAAAACTCTTTTTTAGGTCCGGATACCCATTGTCTAGCTGTGCCAGATGCAACAGGACAGAGATCACTAGCCAAAGGTGAGCTAATGAAAAAGGAGATTTTTCTCTGCGGAGCCATACAGTGTGGGAGTTCAGGGATTTTCCTCAACTTCCTTTCCCCTTCCTTCCTTTATGTTCTTCACTGAAGAGTTTTCCAGTGGCACATCATTTATAACAAATATTTGGTTTATTGTGCATTAAATATATAACCTAGTATCTAATTGGTAAGTACCTCTACAGCTTTTTTCAAGTTTTACCTATATGTTAAGATCGTAGTCTCTGTATAAAATCCTAACATAAATATATTTTTATTAGCTGTCTTTATTTCAATACAGCTGTCTTTTATTGGTTAGGATTGAATCAAAATTATGTCACAGAACTGACACCTTAAGCAAAATTGCATATGTAGGAAGTGGTGAACATGGGGTTAGGTTAATCCAATTTTAAAACTAAAAGCAGTTGTGTTTACTTCCAGTACGTATTCCCTATTTGTTTCATTGAAGTTCATTGTAATCAAGGGTAAACAACTGCAATCCTGAATCAGAAAGTCCATTAAGACTGGATTTTGTTTAAGCAAATGAGGATCTGTATAGGTATCCTCCTACTGAAATGTACTGCTAAATTAAAAAGGTGGCATAGTTGCACAATTTGGTCATTGTTACTGTTAATAATTCTCCTGCCATAGCGAGGCAATGTGTCTTGCCTTTTGAGCAAAGCTCCTTCTTCCTATATGAGAAGCAGTTGAAGCATAAGAGGCGTTTCTGGCATACAGAATGCTGAAATGAGAAGACACTCAGCATGCTGCCTAGAGAGGTAATACATAAGGAAGTGATGATGTTCTTATGCATCACGTCTACCCATGATTCCAAATCCTTGTAAAGATTTGAAGCGAGTACTTTGTTGCTGAAAGAGCAGTGTTGTCTCAGTAAAATGCAAAACAAAGGTGCAACCAAAAGCTTAGGCTGAAGGTAATGCAAAGGTGGGAAAAACCAGCACTGGCCTCGTTGGGAACTTAGGGTACTTCTCTGTAGGTAAACTTGGCACTGATTGAAAAATGGTAGTATAAGGCGCATTAGTTGTTATATTGTCAGTCTCCCAGTTGTTTTACAAATACCAACAGTTAGCACCCCTTTAGTTTGTCATATGTTTTTCTGATTTTACAAAAAAAAAAAAAAAAAAAAGGAAATTGAGTGAAGTACAGATTTTAGCAAAAGTGAAAATTAATTCAGAGTGGTTTGCGCTCAGTGTCATTCTCCATCTTCTAAGCTGCTCTTCTAGAGACTTCCGCAGCAATGAAAATCCGTAAGAATTAAAACCGAGAGCAAGCATATGTACTATTGCTATGTGGCAGGAAAGAGTGGATGTTTTGAGAGAGTTACTGTGGAATCTAACTCCCATGAGCTCTGGCTTTGCAACTAGTGCCAGCTGGGGCTGGCAGAAATGAGGTACCTAATGACAATGTCACAAAGACATAGTAAATGCATTGTCTTCTGTAATTTCACCTTCTGGGTTAAATTTGACTTAGTAGTGCCTTTGGGAAACATTATTAGGTACATTCAGGTGGGTTGTTGGAGTGTAGGTCATATATGGCATGGTGGCTTATAGATCCTGTTGAGCAAGATTCAGTGGTCGCTTTTCAGAAATCTAAACTTCTGGTTTTATGTTACTCTGGTATTGTCAGCAATCCTGCAATAATGCTTAGGTTAATGCTTTCCATCGTAACTGTAAGGGTGACAAGTACTTTTATGGATGGTTATAGAATTAGCATGACAGATTCATGATCATTTAAAGCATAGTTTGATAGGCTCAATAATGCTAATCAACAAAAATAGGATTAAAATGTAAATCAATATACCACATTTTGGTATATTCTTGCCATTTGCAAAGTGGTTTAATTTTCCCAGAAGTATTCCTGGGGAAATGAATTCTTCTGTTCATCACTGCTTAGCTGATGGCCAACCTTGATCACAGAACACTTCCATCCTAACCACACTGGTGATCTCTGATGGAATTCCAGAAATAGATCACTTCGATGACACAGTCTCTATGGAAACCGAACAACCTCACTAGTTATTGTCTGCATCATAACCCATTGTTGAGCAAGTAAGACATAGGCCATACACACATTTTTCTTTCCTTTATCAGTCTGCATAGTATAGGCAGAGGATGGAGAGTGTTGGCGTGTGGGGCCCTCCCCTGCAATGGCCACTGGGAAAAAAAAAAGAAAAGACATAATTTGCAAGGAGATTAGTTAAGTGACTTCAATTTGAGAATGAAGTAGAAAAAAAGGATTAACGTAAAATAGCAATTCAGTTCCAAATGAAAGTTATCACAAAGGATGCAATTCTGATTCTGTGGCTTATCCCCCAAGAATTTCCCCCTCCAGCTGGTTGATAAGGATGTGCACAAATACTGTGAGATGAATTCAAATTGTGGGGTAAAATCTAGCTGCAAAACCTCATGATTTACAATAACTAGAAAGAACACCCTTGTTATCTGACGTGAAACAAGAATGCATACCTCAGTGCAGTCCATATTATTTGCTTTACAACACTCCTGAATAGTGCATTTCTGACAGCTTGTCATGTTTCAGAGTAATGAGACTGCGTCTGGGAGGAGACAGGTCTGTCTTGCATTGGCATCTGTCCTGAAAGCGCATGTCCCGTGTGCGTAAAGCTGGCTCAGCTGTTATCAGAACAGCTATGTGGTTTTTGAACCCACTCCCCGTAGAGCCTTTGTGTGTGTCCATGCTCTCTCCTTTTCCTTGTGAGGATAGGAAAAACCTGTCACACACTCTGCTTTGTGGCCACATTCTGCTTAGTAAAAACCCATGAGGAATTTTTGGTTGTAGCTGATAGCAGCCTAGAGCTGAGGTGAAAGCTTTCAAGAACTGAAGAGCACTTTTGTTGGCAGAAGTCAGAAATGGAGGCCAATGTGAGAAAAGTTGGTATCTAGAAGGAAGAAAGAGTAGCTGTGGCTTTGTGGGAAGAGCTTATCATGAAAATATGAAAATAGCGACAGAACATCAGCGATGAGTTAAACAATGAAAGAAAAGTTTCTCAGAGATAAATGGATGAATGTAAGAGAAACTACAGATTCCACTAAATGATCATGGATTATTTTTTTTGATGAAAAATATTGAAATCTGCTAAGCAACTGTGTCTGGTGCAAGGAGCTGTACCATATGATATTTTTAATGACCTTTCCAGCAACTCTTAGCGGTGTTATGACCATTCTCAGCGTTAATCCTCAGTGCCAATTACTGGGGAGAGGTTACATACCAGAGAGTAATACAAAAGTACAAAAAAGGAGAGTTTAATAGTTTTCTCTTTTGAAAGGCGATCAGCATTATGTTTCTATTTACTTTGCTGGAATATCTAATAGTTCCGTGTTGCAGCTTGCTACATGCACAGTGACAAAGGATTCAAAGCTGCCTGTGACACGAAGAAACTGAAAGGTAAACAAGAAACGGTTTAGAGTATAAACAGCTATCTGACTACGTGCTCCATATCCAGAAGCTGGCCTTGCCCTGTCCGGGCTGGCTAGACATGCTCTGCAGCCAGACTCCATCCTTTGTATTTCTTCTGGCAACCACTGGAACAAAAAATATCTGACTATGACCCACCACCGCCCCCATCAAAACCTATGATAACAAAAGGAAGCCGGAGAAACTGAGAGGTTACTATAAGAGAACAGGAATGTGTGTTTGTATTTATTTAGGGTTCTTCTACTATTGCAATAACATCCTTCTTCCTTGCATTTTCTGAGGGTTTTATGATCATGCAAAGTTCATGCATCTTGGCAAGGAATTCTTATGGTACCACTTCTGGTTTATTTATTTTACCTTGGCTCCCAGTAGCTGGCAGAAGATCTGGTGTGTGCCAATATTTTGAAAAACCTGGAAAGCTTTTCAAATACCACTTGAGTTTTATCTGGGTTGGTTTTGTGGGAAGGAGTTGGTTAAATAGGAGCTGGATGCATTCAATTCCTTCTTTTCTCAGAACTTACATCCTCTTCCCCTCTGGAGTCTGCCTGTGCCAGTAATAGCCAGAACAGATCCTCTGGTGTGCTCTGGCCCCTTTGTTTCTTCTGCAAAAGTTACAGCAAAAGGCTAGATCGTGGCTGGGACTAGCCAAGAATTACGCCTATGGGGAGAACAACTGTGTAGAGAAACAACTGTATCTGAATGATTATTTTGTTTCTTGTCAAAAAAGCTTTAGAAATGACAGTGAAAACCATGGTGTTACAGCTTTCTGAACTCTGTGAAAAAGAGATACTTATTTGTGTTGTTTCCAGTTCAGTCGGTTTGTTAAAATGCCATTCCTCACTGCTTAGTCCACTATACTCTTATAGTCAAGAGCATCTCACTGTTGGTGGTAACATATTTTCCTGTTATTTTCTCCCACTCTCTCTTACCTTTAGTTTTGCATTTTCCAGTGAGGAGTTTGCCTAAGCTATCCCCACCTAATTCAAATATTTCCTGTCTTTTCTGTTCTGTAGTTATGTGGAAAATGTGATTCCCTCAAGGTACCATCATATTCCCATTGAAAAGTCTACCACCACTATGGAGAAGGGGTGAGGGGGTGGGAGGTAGGTAGGTAGTTAAGGGCAAAAGTGGTTTATGACTTTTTTTCCTCTGCTCTCCCTAGCCTGGGTATATATGTTGTCCCATTGACATCAAAAGTTTTGGCAGAATCAGAAATGGGGTTGCTGGCACGGCTACAGGAAGCTCATAAGAGTAGCAAAGGCAGGAGAAAGAAGCAGATTTTTTTTCCTGGGATTAACACACAGTTGGAGAGCTGTGAGATCTCAGTTAGAGAATGGGAGAACAAGTATTTACATTTCAGCTTAGAGTTGGTAAGATATGTTCTATTGGAAGTGGTTTTCAATGCAAAATGCTCTTTCTGCCAAACACTGCCGATTTCTGTATCTTTTACTGCTGGGAAACAATCAGCTTGATTTTTCACAGCTGCTTTTTGAAAAGTTCTGGATAATTTCACTTTTGTAGGCTTAAAGAGCATTAAAGTTGAGATTTCAGGCAGGCTCCTGTGTTGCTGCTGCAAGGTGGGGAGTCTCAATACCTTAATGTCTCCCACCTGTGGCAAGTTGGCTGACAGGAAGGTGGGAGCTGAAAATTGAGGAGGTGAAGAGCTGGCGTGCTGAACCTCTGGAAGCTTGTTCTTGTCTGTGATATCTCCTGTTAGTTAGAGGGAAATTCCAGATAAGTGGCATCAAGCCACAAAATTGCATTTTACTTTTCCTGAAACAGAATTTGTCAGTTATGACTTGCCTGATAGACTACTCTGTCTTCCTCACCCTAACCTAGAAGGTTTCTTTCTCTTGAATGTTAAAGTATCTCAGGGAAGAACTTCCATTTTCCTCAGGTCAGCACTTCTCTTCCACTTTCTCCACTGTGAAGTGAAAAAACCCCAGCAAAGTTAAACACAGTTTAACAAAGTTAATAAAGCTATACAGTACCACAGAATTTTTCCAGGAGTGCTCTGAAGCTTTAGCAGGCTGTGAGGCTTGTGAGTGAAGGGCATGGTGCAGGATCCCAGGAAGACTGATCCCTTCAGTGGCATCACTCTACAGAATTGCTTGTAGTTAATATTGCCAAGGGAAGGGAAACGTGTATAATGCACATGTTCCCCTGTATGCATGTACATGCTCATAAATGCACGCTATATGTAATATCCTTCCACTGTTACCATTTGTTCCTTACCACTAATCCTTCAGTAGGTCCTGAAGAAAAATGTATGTATTTTATCTTTAAAATAGGATGAGATTAAGAAGTGCTGTAGCAGCATTTCAGTTTCCTAACTTGCATGCCTGAGACAGAAAGTGCTTAGCTTGAAGAGTACTGGTGGAAGAGATAACTTGCAATATTATATTTTGAAGTGATTTTGAATGCACCTGATGTTAGCTGTGTGACCTGGCTGGAAGAACTCACTCCAGAGTAGTGCTAGTGGGGCCCAACCTGTCCATGTTATTAAGAATTTTTGCCAGTGGAATATATCCATCATTAAAAACCTTCAGAGATTAACAAAGCTCAGAGTAGGAGCGGTACATTTGTCTTTGGTAGGCTGACACAGACAATCTGTTCATTTTTACACCAGGGCCTGAGCTTGTGTACTATGTGTTTTTTACATAAATTTTTACTTTGTGATGGAAAGCAAATATTTTGTAACAATTCAGTAGTGTGGTCTAGACAGCCAAGGTTTCATACGAGAAATCCATGTCACTGAAGTCTAAAAATACAGAATTGGTGAATGCCTGTGCTGCTGTTAGAGACTTGCCCATCTGCAGGTCAGTGCTCTGACTCCAGGTGCAAGGGAATTAAGCAATATCAAGTTCTGGGAAAATATGCTGTGAATGTTTGAATCTGGAGAAAAAGTCCAGTCTGTGCTTAAGCCTTGAGTCATGTTGCTTTATCTCTATTAGCCAGCCTTAATTTTCTCTCAGGTATTTTGTGGGGAAAACAATTAAGCAAACTACAGGTAGTGCTTTCTTCATTTACTTTTGTGGCATTAAGAGGCCTGTGAAATACCATAATGCACCATTTTGTGAGTGAGGAGAAATATATTTTCTTATCCCAGAACATTTTATTTAGGCTTGTTAATTGAGTGCTAGACATAATGCCTCTCCCCCTTTCAGATTTACAGCATCAATCTAGTGTGTTCAGTGGCAGCTTCAAGCCTGCAAATCGTGGGCTTTTGCTTTCTGAGCCTGGCTTAGGGGAACTCAGGACGTTGAAGGTAAAAGTCCAGATAGGTATCAGACAGTCTGGCCTCAATTTATAGGGGTTTATTGGCAGACATACTCCTTGTCAATAGCAGCAGTATCTGCTTCTATACAAAAGCACAATACTAAGGTTTGGGGTTTTTTTTAACTGTTGTGGGAGTTCACTGCTCATCAGTGTAAACAAAGATGGAGACAAAAATACTATATAACCCATAGCTGGCTCTATACAGACTGTAGGTTTCAGTCGCCCTTGTTTTCCAACTCCTTCCTGAAATCCCATTTAGCTGCTTCACTGTCGCTCCCTTTATCCACCCAATCTGAAGAATCTGGTACATTCCTCTCCCTCTGGAATTACCTGACCCTCTTCAGTCCTTTGGGGATGGGAGTGGTGGAAGAATAAGAAACAGAAGTGGAGTTTAAGGTTGCAATCTTGAAAGAATGCAGGAGCCGAATGCACGTTGCTGGTCAAGTGCATCGTCTGGGAGCATTTTGCTGGGCTCTTCTGACTTTGGCTCCATCTTCTTCTGTTCTGAGTATTATTGTTTTCCTTAACTTCACCCACAAGTCCATGGAAGATATCAGAATACTTAGCATGGAAGAAGAGTGTTCAGTGTGGGTGTTTTCTCATGCTTGCTGCTTTGTAACCCTTTTAGGACACTAAGGAGCATCATGAGTTAGCCTCAAAAAATATCTGAAGCAGGGACCTTATGTCCCCCATGGCTTGACTATTTTTAAAGTTGCTGGATAGGATCAATGCATTTTTTTTTTCTTCTTATATACTCTTTCTTGGATATCTGGTAAAGGTCAATTTATCTCTCAAAGTGATACTGTGTACAGTCCTGATGGGTGATGTCTACAGCAGAGCTGAGCCAGTCCTGTGCAGGAGCTGGCTAATGAAACAAACAGCTGCTTCATCCCAAGAAAGTAGGCAGGAAGCTAGTTATAGTTACGAGCCTCATGGCATGAACCGACAGTTTTTGGGAAATACTACTGCCGTGTATTATGCCTTACACTTGCATTTTTTTCTATTTCCCGCAGCTTGTTAAATATACAACAGTTCTCCCTTTCCTCCTCCAACACTGTACCAATGTTGGAAGCTATATTTAGTTCTTGTCAAGTTACAGCAGGCTTTGTATAAATACAAAGTAGTGGAAAAAAGGCCAGCAACACAGTGAAGGCAAATATTTGTAGCATATCATAACCTTTCTTGTAACCTAAATATTTAGAAAGAACAGGGGTGTAGGAGGATGCTGTACTTTTTAAAACATGGAAAAGATAAGAAGCAGCCTTCTAAGTGTGCTGCCATGTTGGAGAAGTCTTTTTGCTGTGGCATGAGTGAGCAAAAGGACTTCTTCCTTTTGTTCAGAAAATGTTTGCTGACTGAAGATGATTTAGAAAAGTCAATGTTTAACTTTTCATTAAAAGAAAAAAGTACCCAGATAGTTTGACTGGCACATGGAGGTCTGCAGTTGAAAAGAACCACCACCACTATCCCTAGTGAAATAAACCCAAATGTTATCCCAGTGTATCTTGAGGGACTCATTAGCACCCTGAAAACACCAATAATTTTAAGATTTTCCTTTAGCAAACACTGGAGTAGAAAAGCTTGCGGTGTGGACTGTGGGACAAGAAGCGAGTTGTGCAGTCTGTTGCTGAAAATGGCCTTCTGCCAAAATGACCCTCTATATGCTGGGTATATTTTTAGTTTCTGACTGTTCATTTTTAAGTTGTTTTATTCTGAAAAAATGTCTTTGCTTCAATTTTTATCTTACTTTATGCTATTTCATTCTCAGCAGTTTACTAGATTTTCCTCTCTGTGATGGAAGATGGTGCTGCAGCTTGTGAGACATCAGAATAATTAAGGCAGAGATAATCAAGGCTTTGTTGTGAGGCACCACAAGCAAATTTTGTGCTGCGAACTCAAACTCAAGGGTTAGGCATCAGGCGCCTAACCTGGGTTAAATCAGGGCTCCTGCTTTAATCTGTTTTCTAGGGACCTTCTCTTGGAGCCCCTGAAATGTTTCTATGTTTTATTTCATTGTTCTTTAAAAAAAAAAAAATAAAAAAAAAAATTCTGTTTTTAATACTTACCAAAACCTGGCGATGCATCAGTACACCAAATAGAATTTGACCTGTGAGTTGCCAGATAGAAATATAATTCACTGGGTGCAGCATGCAGGGAAGGGTGAATGGGTGTAGATGCTATTAAAGTTACTTTCATTCAAATGTAGCATTACTGACAGTTATTCAAAGTCTGTGATATAAAAGCATTAAAGGAGCACTCCAGCAGTGGAAAGACATGCTTGTATCTGTTTGGATCACGACTTGATTCTTAAAAACATTTGAGTTTGGTAATATGTCTTTCTCATGTGCATTATTACCCTATAAATTACCCTAAAAATTGCCCTTGGTTTTAACTCTAATACTATTGCTTTTTGACTTGGCTCAGAGCCTTCCTGATGGCTGAACTTAACATTCCTT